AATTGTGTACCAGTTTAACATTGAATATTATTTATGATTTTAACTTTATACACAAGTGCCAAAATACTATAATTCAGTTTATTCATTCACAGCACAAACTTTTAGTACACAGTAATTCCACAGTCAGTACGTTTCTCATCACTTTAAATTAAAAACTTTTATAATACACGCTATAAATCACAGCAATTCACAATCTCTCTCCGGAGGCTTTCGCTGCCAGTCTTATATACTAACAAAGAGGCATCTCTAAAATTCGCGGACTTCCCCGATAATTCAAGAAACTCAGTCACGCATGCGCCAGCAGCGTCACGTGACTTCCACTGTCGTGACAATATGTGGCTACCTAGAAATCTACCCAGTATTTTACTAGCAGTAGAATGAATAATGTGAGAAAAAGTATTTGTCTATTGGGCAAAGAATAAAGGTAAAATGTGCAGTCCTTCAGCCTAATCTTGTCATCCTGAGTATTGAGCAATATGAATTTTACACCATTAACATAGCTCATAATTTTGTACAAGTTGAGTAAATGTTGCAGTACATATTTTGCAGAATGGCCACTATTTCTGTAATTTATAGTTTTTACTTCTTAGTGAAAAAAAAATAGCCTTTGTCATGTCTAAACTCTATAAAACTTTTATATTCAAAAAATATTTACATGATCTTTTTATATATTGCATAAAGATTTGTATTATTTCATAACTTTTAAGAACAGACTAGCCCGTACCTGTGGAAGGCCAGTGCGTGTCTTAGGGTGGTACCACTCACATCCACATATCACAGTATGGCCATCCCATGTTGGTAAGTATGAATATAAAGAGGGAACAAAATTATATAAATTATCTTTAATTTAGTTTGTTAAATCTGTTAGATTACTCACAGGTTGGTGTGTTCTGTGATCAATGATGAAGCATACCTTTATCAGTAAAATAAGTTGAATTTGGTCAGTGTTAATACTGAAAAACTGTTTAATTAGTACAGCAGCATTAAAAATGAAATATAACTTTTAAACAAATATTGTGTGAACATATTTGCACACTAACAACATGCCTTATGTATAGGATAACCACATACTTAAACCCATCAGCTTTAAATAACTAAAAGAAATCAGTACATTAATAAATGAATATATAGCACATATATTAACCTATTAATGTACCTATTAACTTATATCAGTTATATATTTGTAACTAATAACAAACAATAGAATTCATGTCGAGTTCAACATCATTTGTATTCTGTGTGGAACATTCATGTTCATACCAACTGTGAGAACTTGCTGCCTTAGCTTATGTAGATGAGGGTAAGAGTGTTGATTTGGTGTGTCTGGATTTTCAGAAAGCATTTGACCAAATGTCATATAAAAGGCTTGTAAAAAAATTCTCTGTAGGTGTGGAGGATAAGTTAGCAAATTGGATAGAAGAGTGGCTGGATGGAAGAAAGTAGAGGATTGTTACAAATGGAGTTCAGTCAAGCTGGATTAATGTCACAAGTGGGGTACCTCAGGGCTTAGTCTTAGGACCCTTGCTCTTTTTGATTTACATCAATGACATAAATGTAGGAATTGTCAATAAATTGCTTAAATTTGCAGATGATATTATAGTCTTGGGTGTTGCGAGCTGTGCAGAGGATTCTGCTGATTTACAAAAGGACTTAGATCATTTAGTGAGTTTGGCAAATATATGGTAAATGGGTTTTAATTATAATAAATGCAACATAATACATGTGAGTTATCATAATTTGAATTATAAGTATAATTTGGATGTGAATAACCTTAACAGTGTAGGAAGGAAAGAGATCTTGGGGTAATAGTTGATCAGTCTCTGAAGCCATCCAAAGAGTGTTCTGTTGCTAGTGGTAGGGCAAATAGGATTTTAGGTTGTATCTACAGAAATATTGAATACAAGTCTAAAGAGATTATAATTTCATTGTATAGGTCACTGGTTAGGCCACATTTGGAATATTGTGTTCAGTTAAAATACATTGAATTGTTGGAAAGGGTTACTAGAATGGTGCCTGGGATGGAGGGGTTGTCATAGGAGGAGAGGTTGAAATCTCTGAAATTTTCTCTTGAAGTTAAGGGGGAGGATGTGATTGAAGTATTTAAGATTGCAAAGGGAATTGATAGTGTTGATGCATCATCTTTTTTTCGTACTTAACAGTCAAAATAATAGGACTAGGGGATACAAATATAAATTTTGGCAGGGTAGAAGTCATCTTCAGCTGAGACAGTTTTATTTTTCTAACAGGGTAGTTAGTCTATGGGTTGGCTTGCCTTCGAATATTGTGGAAACAGTAATTTAAGTGAGTTTAAGAGAAAGCTTGATAAGCATATGAATAATAAGGGCTGACATTAAGATTTTTTTTAAATCTATTTATTAATAGTTTTAGTTTAGTTTAGAAGATGAAACAACTGAGGTGGACTAATAAGTCCTATATTGTTCCAAAGCGATATGTTATAGTGGCCCAGCAACAGACACCTGATAAATGTGAATGTCAGTAAATAATTATATGATTTATAAGAAGTAACATAATTTTAATGATATGAAGCTTAGTTTGCAACATCATCTCTCATTCCAATAAGCAAAGATAGTTTTTGACTCACAGATAAAGCCACACTAAAATTGCAATTGTAATAAATGCAAATAGTGTAGTGAGTACAGTGTCTGTTTATCACTCTAGGATAAAATCATGGCCTCAACCCTAACCACAAGTTAAACAATTTCTGTCAATAGATCTATCTCATAAGAACAAAGAATGCTAGATTAGTCAACTAATCAATAGCACTTCACCACCACTCAAAGCGTCATAACCAAAGTAATTGTAACCATTCACAAAAAAAAGTTAGAGTTCAAACTGGTAGCAATACTTTAAAATGAGGTGAATCAATCCTCAACTTCATAACTCTGACCAGTAACAAACTTATCCACAGAAAATATTTCCATTTGTGCTTCTAATGCTTAAACATTTTTCAGAGATATCATAATTTTATACAGTAATTTACAGAAAAATCTCATTCAAAGTTAATTTGTGATATTCACTCACCTGCCTCAAATCAGAATATAAACAACTTCATGAAAACATTGTTGCTGAAGAAAAGTTCTGCTAGTTCTTTATTTCCTACATTTTAAACTTAAGTGAGATATGAACTGCACATGAAATTATTTGATGTTTTGATAATCAAGGTTTTTTGAAAGCCCGATTATGGTAATTCTTTTATTACATTATTTTACACTTTTCAGTAACAATAATATAGAATAAAATAATAAATATTTACTAGCAGATATTAGAGTTCTTTATATTTAATTGCCAAGGTTCTTAAGTTGGTTGTTTTTCTCAAAACTTTTAGTTAATACATACAGGATGATACAAAACTCATGATGCTTCTATTCTAAGTCTTGTGCTTACTCTGAGTTTTGACACTGAGTCATGTTTGTGTTTCACTAATTGTCAATTTATATTATTTAGTTTGTTACAATAATTAGTTGGAATGTCATTATCATGCAAAAAAAATCTGTAAGTGATCTTGTTGTGTCCTTGTGTTATGATATCAATGATGAAAAATTTCAAATATCTATACGGGCAGGACATAGAAGAATCATGGTGCATCACCTTGTACATTCAATTTATCAGAAACGTAAAGAACATTAAACTTTGTAAGAGGTTAATCCTTTCATGTTGGGTAGGTCAAAGAGCTCATGCCACAACCTTTTATAGTTACACTCAAAATTTAATTAAACGACTTTATTATCATTGTATCATTGAATAAACTTGCCATCAAAACAAAGTTAATACATAAAATTTTAATATTATTTAAGTTTAAAGTTCATAATTTTATAAGGAAGTGTTTAAAAAAATCCTCTATTTCCTTTAGTGTGAGAACTGTGACATTTGTCTTCCTTCTTCTTTAATCTATTCACCACCCTTCTTAGATGTACAGAATTTAATGTAAATTACTCATTATAATATAGTTATTACTTAGGCAAAGCATAATTTTCATAGACTTCTCCTTCCACACCCACCTGTTACATCCTCTCTTTCACAAATTGCCAATAGTTTTCTGACATTTAATACTATATTAATCATAACCAATAGAAAGCCAAAGTTTAATCTTATAAGACATTGTCTAGTTTTTACCTTTTATTATTCTGTGTTCTTAAATACATTATTTAATTTAATAAAAACTTCTTATTGCAGTAGTACCATTAGCATAAAAAGTAGTGTTAAGTTTCATTGCCAGTCAACAGCAAAAATGAAAGAGAAAAAAGAAGACACAGGTAAATACTATATTTGTCTTTTTTCATGAGTATGCTTTATTTGTTATTATAAAAGTAACTAAAATGTAAAATTAGGAAAATATTAGTTAGATAAGGTTAGATTATATAAAATAAAGAAAAATAATAAAAAGTTTTCATGAGGTATGAGGCAGGATTATTAGTTAGACATTGTTCAAAAGGCAATAACACAATAAAATTAAGTAAAAATAGATGTATACTGTTACAAGCTATATACTTAGGATGCAAAATTGTGGTTTAATGTTACAATTGTGTGTTTATTGCTGTAAAGTCATCCATTTCATTTATACTTCTAGCATTACAACAATAACAATTTAGCCTACCATTAAATCTACTTTTATACTTTGTTCGTACAGTATAATTTTTCTATATTTTATTTTTTCTTTATTATTCTGACCCTCACTACTGTCTAGTACTAGTTTAAAGTTGCGATTACAGGTGAGTTAGTAATCCTTATAAGCCCTATTTAGATGTAAACCAGCCATTCCCAAAGCTTATGTTATCCACTGAACTGATCCCACAACTCCAACCAGCCAAACTGCTTGTCCTTACGTATTAACCTTGCATTCAGCCCTGGTGACCTACTTCAAATTTCATCCCCGCAAATAAGTATTGGCAGTATCTCTGACAGAATAAAGTTATTATGACTTTTCTATGAATGTCATTATTAATGCTTTGTGTTTAACAATAACTTTCTCTGACTACCCTTCCTTACATTATTAGCCATAATATTCACTATGAGAACTTTATCACTGCTAGCACCATTTACTGTATCACTTGCTCTGTTAGCCATATCCTCTACTCCTTTCCTTGGATAACATAATCTAATTCTCCCTCTTTACTCCACAGACCATCCTATCCATTTGCTGTACCAAATAATCTCCTATAACAATAATCTTATGTTTTTCATTCTTCTGTCATCCTTCCCTTCTTTAGTTTATCATCTGCACAAGCTAAAAGCTGAATTCCAATAAGGTACCTACCTCCTCTCACAGATATGGCTATTCTCATTCACTGCTGCTCTCTATATGTAAAATGTTTTTCACATGCCACAAGCCTTGAGCTCCCACCACTGGGTGTTTATTCATTTTGGGATTCTAACTATATTTGTGAGAGGAGGTAATGTACTGTATCAGAAGTTATAATTTTCCTATACTGAAAATGTATTTCCGAGAGGTACTTACCTCCTTTCACACTTCCCACTCTTCCTCCCTACTGAAAACTGGTGCTTCCATTTTCTGCTAAATCTGGAAGTGATAGTTCAGTAGAATCAAATAGAGAGAGTCACATGCTTAAGGAGGGTGTCACACTCCTGTTGGTGGAGGGTTGTCACATTTACATGCTGTATCTGTGAGAGGAGGAAAGTACCTATCGGAATTACATTTTCAGTACAGGAAAATTATAACATTTGTTACTCTATAGAATCTGCACATTATAATTAAATCCAGTACTGCTAGCCTTATTAGTACTATTTTTAACTTCCATTTTGTTTATTTCTGAATCATTTGTAATTTATCTTGCAAATTTTGAAAGCTTCATACACAAGGAGAAGTGTGTTAGTTGTGAATTATAACTTGATTTACGGAGCAGCATATATTCAAGAAAATGAGTAGCTCTACCCTTTGATAAAGATTAATTATCAAATTTGAGAAAATAAAGTGATTGGATGAGAATTATCAGTTGATGACAAAACCTTGTCGAAACGTTGTACATTTGCTGTTATATTAAAGTTTTTCTTCATTACCCATTCAAGCCGTCTCCAGCCATTATTAAACTTTAACTTTCCTTGTTTTCAGAGCACATAAACTGTGGGTTCAGTATTGCTTGTGTTTTTAACCATTTTCCATATTATCTACTTTTATTTTACTATTTGATATATCACATGTATAATGTTGTTTTAATTAGTTTATCAATAATTCAGTTATATGATTATCAAATGTAAATAAATACTGTTTGAATTTAACTTTCTCCTGAAAAGAGTAAGTAGCTTTACAAAGAATTAGCTGACTTTCTTGCAGTGAAGCTATCATGTGATATCCAAAAATAGAAAGCTATCTCTCTCTTGTCAGTAAAGCAGTGAAAGGTCAAGGACAACCATTCTCTTCATCTCACCTCTTGCCCTCCAGTGGCACAGCAGTATGTCTGTGAACTTACAATGCTAGAATCCGGGTTTTGATACCCATGGTGGGCAGAGCACAGATAGCCCATTGTGTAGCTTTGTGCTTAATTACAAACAGTCATCTCAAGTCACAGTGAACACAGATCTTTTGCCTGTGAGGTTTGTCCATGTGCAAACTTGGCTTTATCATTGTACTGGGGTTATTGTATATAAAGCCAGATTTGCTCCTTTAAGAGGATTAGAAAATGGATTAGATATTCTTCAAGTGTGCTAAAGGTTTCTGTAAAAATAACTTAATTTTTAGAAATCTCTTAATAACTTTAACTTTTAGTAATGTTAGTAACTTTTGATTTTAAATATATTGTGACATTTAAAATAACTTGTTTTGGAGTTTGTTTGCTGAAGACAATGTTCTGGATTAATATTTAAAGTGAGCTTTAGCTTTTTGTTATTTTATCTAGGTTGTGCTTCAACTGTAGGAAGTGTAACTTAAAGTGAATTAAATTGTGCTACTATTCTCATCTCACTATAGTTGTGATTTGGATTTAAGTTTTGTGTACAAGTAACCTTAAACAGTAACTTCAGTTCTACATAATTGTTTTTGGGGTTTCATTTTGACTTTTTGTTTAGGGCTTTATTTTAACTTACAAGGGGGGACATGTTAAACTTATAAGAAGCTTTTGAATAAAGTCTTCACCTTACTCTTATCAGTTCAACACACTCCACTGAACACTTTCCCCTTTTCATTTGTTATTATACTGTGATTTTGTTTTTGTGTATAAACATTTATGCGTTCATATTTTTATTGCTGTTGAGTCTATCTTTTAGACAATCCTGGTTTTAGATCATAGAGACAATATACTTCTTAGCGAGATATTCTCTTAACCTCATGTTAGTGGACCTAACTGACTGATTTTACTAGAAATACTCCACCTGTTATACCATATTTTACTGAGGAATTCTGAAGAATTTAAATAATCCCCATGCTATCGAGTGGAATCTGGCATTATTTCAAGAAAACAAATTATAAAAGAATTGGCAATTGCACATTTTATAACCAAATTTGTACCAACAATGTCACTCAAATGAGGAATCATTTGATAGAATCTGTGCAACACCTTAAGAAATTCAGTAAACTTATATGAACTGTCAATACATCAAGTTGGGCTTGTTACATACCATCTCTTATGATACCATAAAGTTCAAAAGCTACAGACCAGTGTTGCCTGAAGTGGCCCCCCTCTTTAAGAAGATGAGTCAACACTATGAAGACAGTTTGCAGCAAACCTATGTTAGCAGATGAAGAATAATAATTGAACAAAATTTTTCCATTTGCTTGTATCCTAGCAACTCTCATGCTGGACTCAAAATACGGAGCTGGTCAAAACTTTCAGTATAAAGGAAGATGAGCAGACTGAAGGCATGTAGGTATGATAACAAAGGTAGCTAAACATATCCTCTTCAGAGATTGTACCATGTGATTTGACAGAATACAGAGTAGGATACAAATTACAAAGCAGTAATGTTCTATGGAGATAGCTAGTACCACTGCACTTTTAATGTGGTGGAAAGGGTTTTATGGGAGTCAGCAGTTACCTTGAGTTGATACATAGATGTTAAGTTTTAAATTTATTGCAGTTGCTTGCAAATTTTCAGTAACATGATAAAAAAAGGGGTACAAATAAGCTAAACTTGTTATTATGTGCTATAATCCTTACCTGGGCAGTGGTTACAATGTGATTGAGAATTAATAATGAAGTCTAGCAGTTGCGACTAAGAGTACTAATATGATTGAAGCAAATACCAGAAAAAGAAATTTGTGAGAATGAAGGATCAAGTGATGAAAAAGTCAGTGAAGATAGTTACCCAAAGTGGTTTGTTAGAGAAACTTGTAATTCAGTGAGTTATAAATAGTAAACATTAGTGGCTTAAATCACCTATGTTACAATTAAAACATAAGAGCATTTTGGAAAAGTTAAAAGTATAAAAGGTCATTATTATGTTTATGTATGTCTATGCCTTGTTATTTTATGTAAGGTACCTCATTCCTCAATAAAGGAGTTACTGGTACTAAATACGTGTCTAACACATGAAATTATTTATTACTAGCAATAGTTTGATTATTACTTTCTCAAACAGACATTAAGGAACTAGACCAGAAAAGAAAAACTATGGAAAATTTTTATTTTTTTAGAAAATGTTTTGCTGAACAAACTTGTGGGAAATTATTCTCTTTCTTTCGATTGTACTGTTTGAAACCAAAAAATGCAGTATACTGTTTGCAACATGAACACATAATACATATATAGGAGGTTGAGTATATTATATTAAAATGATTTTAATTATGCAGATCAGAAATTCACATAATATCACAACTGCTATACAATGTTTGTGGAACTGAATGTATCAGCACTATATTTTGATATTGTTTGACATATTTTAGATTGTGTAATGTCACAATCCGTATTAATGCAAAGTATTCATACACTTGGATCATAAAAGTGTATTCAGATTGGGGATTTAGAATTTCCAAGGCATGTATTCCTTTGTACTTGATGGCATTGGAAAACAAAGAAATATGGATCAACTTGAGTATCTGGAGCATCCAGAAGAGACCTGCAGCAAATCATTCCTCAACAAAAGTCATTCACGTGGCCCTGGCAATAGTTTGAAACATAATCAAGAAGGATCTCCATCTGGAAAGAAGGGCAACAGTGTAAGGATTCAGTAAAATAAGTTTTCCAGTCATACCTCAAGCACCTAGAGAATTAAACAGGTGTTCATGCTATTCCAATGGACTTGTATGCCATTGGACTGTTGAGACGGGCACTAGGAACCATTGTCTTCTTAAACTACATGGATATTGGAGCATACTCAGTAAGAAATGGTGTGCTTTGAACACAACAGCCTTGCAACAGTGCTTGAGGCTTCAAAACTGTTTTGATATAACTTACTCAACCTCTGTAGATGTAAACATAAACTCACAGTATATTAAGTGAAATCTAATAATTTAGCAATTACTGAAATAGAATCTAATGATGGAATGAGGGCAGTAGAAGTTATAAAATAAAAAAGAATTAATTCAAAATATAATTTTTTGACAGATGTACAGACTCAAGCTATGTATCAGATGATGGATGATGGTTTTGTTGGACTGATTTTTTCAGTATTTAGTGAAGAAGCTTCAACAAAAGTAGGTATCTCGAAACACTATGTCAGAAATGAATCTCACTGTTTACAAGCAGTTTGATTTCTTTGAATAAATATTTAACCAAGATCACATATGTGTGTGTATAAATATTATGTTTCTCTGATGTCTCTGGAATACAACCAATAAAAATGTACAGAATTTTGTTTTATCATGCTTACTACTTTCCAGAGATGCTCATTAAAAGGTTTTGTAAACTTTCAACTCCTGTGGTTGCAGCATAAAGTACATTAACAATTTTTAATAAGCAAATCAAAAAGTCATTTGACAACCACGGTCAATGGGTTCACTAAGATAAGTTTCCAGTTGCACCTCAAGCATGTAGGAATTAAAAAATGTTCATGTTATTCCTGTGGATTTCTGTGTGATTGAAATGTTGAAGTGGGTGCTGAAAAACTGTTGTCCTTGTACAATATATGGATATTGAAATGCAATCTTACAACATTATGGCAGAATCTATTGTAATATAAACTATTCTGCAGAGTTACAGCCAACATGGTTGTGAGATAGAGCATGACTGAACATGGTGACATGGACTGTAACAACACAATGAGGCTTCAAAATTGTTTTAGTATAATCAGGAATGAATTAATTGTGATGAGACCCAGGGCTGTTAGAATGTTAGAGTTTCTCTTTTTTATTTTCTTCCGTTTGCCATTTTACTGCTTCCCATTCTTGATGTTAAACACTATTGTAAGTTAACTGGTTATTTCAGTTCTAATATTAAAATGTGGTAAACCAATCATAAAGCAACTCCATTTGATCTGATTCACACAGCCACAAACTACTTATTTATTTTATATATATTGTATTTTTGGGACCCCTCAAAATCTGAAGCCTCGGTTGCATCTCGAAGAGCCCTTACATTAATCTTCCCTCTGTATATTTATATGATAGTACAAACATGCAATTAATAAATACAGCTATATGATATACATAAACTTTGCTCAAAATAAAAAACAAAAATGTGGAAAGACAAACTGTGATTTACTTTTTCATTTGCTTTCTATAGTATATTTTTCTATTTTGGCTAGGTGGTTTCTAGGTCAAAATGACTGCTTCTGTTTTTGACAGCTGTGTATGTAAACCAAATACAAATAAAACACATGTTAAAATAGGTATGTTTAAAGATTTTTTTCTTTGCTTTTCATTTCTGTATGTTACTTTTCTATTAAAAAACAACCAATGTGGCTGAAATAATGTCCCGTCTATTATCTTCCTTAATTTTTAAGATTATATTTCATCTACTTCAGATCTCTCAAAAATGACTGGCTGAATAAAAGTACATAGGCATTCCTTGTTGTGGCATTAAATATGTATGCTGTGCTTTTTTTACTTTATATCTGAAGAGAAGACTTCACCACCCTTATTTCAGCCATGACTTTCTTACTGTTGACTTATAAGATGCATTAAGTTTTTTGTTGTTGTATTTTTGAAAAAGTAACATGTTTCAGGTGTTGAAATTTTATAGCTTTGATATTTATAAAAACCAAACATCAATTTTCCTGTGTTTCCAAACCAGTAACTCAGGATTGTGCCTTTTTATTGTGAAAGTTTGGAAAATCTAGGCTTCTATTTATTATACTTTATAAAATTTTCATACTGAATAATTAACAGGTGCATGAAAGAGTTTCTTCTTCAAGACAACAGTGTTGAACACCTCTTTACACTACCTGATTCTGGTTAAATCTGATTTTTAATAAGAATTTTCATCTTATTATCTCACTTTTTACAGCCCTCTGTTATAGGCAGATTACTACAACCTACCCATGAATGATGAAACTGCTAGTTGTTTTGTTTTTAACTATATAATTAAACATTTCAGAATTAATTTATTAAATGTATGTCAATCTGATTGCATAGTGTTAATGTTTGCAATTAGCCAGATAAAACTTAAAAGTGTAAAACCACAGTGTTGATAGAGCTTATATGAAACTCATTTTATGAACTGTTTTCTGTAATTGGTCTTGGCATTTACTCAAAAGAAAAACATATTTAACACATTGTTCAGGTATTATACTTGCTTATAATGCACAAATTTAAGCTTATTTTGTCTTTAATAAAGAAAACAGCACCAATATACATGTACAACAAAGAGAGAGAGAGAGAGAGAGAAGAAAATAATAGAAACAAAAATTAATTTACTTTCTGTTTGTTTTTTTAGTTACTAGAAAGTTAACTTTAAATTAATTAATT